CGCTGCTGATGCCTGAACGGTATGTGGAATGAAGTGGGCGGGCATCGGGAGGCCACTATGGCACGGGGCAAGCACTATGGGCAATCTATCTGAAGTGTACCTGGCATATAAGACGACCCCCCACTTGGAGGCATATTTTTCAGGGCCAAAAAATCGTCTTATACGCCGGCAAATACGGTACATGTGTGCGTTTAAAAATAAAGTTATTTCGAACTTTTTATTTCTCTTTTCTTGGACTGGGAAGATATTATTTTTTTGGGTTTTAATCAGAATATTTTGAAAGATGTTGTGCCCTCTTTTACTTGAAATACGAAATTGCCTGCCCTAGCCGGTTTGGCTCAGTGGTTGGATCATTGGCCCACTGACTGAAGGGTCTTGGATTTCATTCTGGTCAAGGGCATGTACCTGGGTTGCAGGCTACATCCCTGGGTCAGGGCAGGCAACCAATTGATGTGTCTCTCTCACATCAGTATTTCTCTATCTCTCCCCTTTCCTTCCACTCTCTCTGAAAATCAATGGAGAAAATACCCTCAGGTGAGGATTAACAAACAACAACAACAACAAAATTGCCTAATTCAAATAATAGATGATTTAAAAAAATAATACAACAACCCATGAGATTAGGATTTTTATAATAAGGAAATAGACTAGACTGAGAAGTTAAGTTACTTTCCCAAGGTCACAGAACTGTTTAACAAATGTTAGAGCTTGCTTTGGGTCTGCATGATTCTGGAACTGAACTTTTAACTATTATAAAAGTAAACAGAGTAGAAAACTACACCATTACTAGAATTATGGTAAATTAGCTTATGAATGTGAAAGATCTTAAAAGGCAGTGGAGAAAAATCATTTTTAGTCAAAAAACAAAGTTGTGTTTAGGAATCTGGAGGAAAGTTTAACATCTTTCTGCTTTAGGGCTTCAGACTGGTACCATTACTCTTTCCTGTGTGACTATACTGTTGTAGTAGGAAAAGAGCCATATGAATGAATGGTGTGGTGTGTTTCAGTAAACCTTTATAACAATAGGCAGCAGGCCTTTGGGCTATAGTGTGCTAACTGGTGGTATAATATATACCAGGTACAATTCTAACTACTTTATATGTATTAGTTAAACCTCTTAACCCCAAAAGGTAGACACTTCTATTACTTCTACTTTACAAATGAGGAAACAGAAACAAGTAGATTAAATAGCTGTTAAGTGGTAGAGCTAAGCAGTAAACCTAAACAGTGTGACTCCAAAAGTTGCACACGTTTGCACTGTAGTATACTGCTTCTTTACTGTACCATAACCTCTTTTTCTGTTTTCTGTCGGTCATAGGAGATACCTATCTATACACACACACATAATTAATTTAGATATCTTTTGGCCTGGCATTTATAACTTTTAAAAGTAAAGAAGATTGTTCCTTAATAGATAAATTGGTAATTGTTCAAATGTATTTTTAAATACCTGGAATCCTATAAGGAGAGAAAAAACTATGATAATGGGAATTAGTTTTATTTTTAGGTTAATAAATATCTTTAAGTCAATTGTTGGCTCTGGGTTTAGATTTATATACAATTTAAATAATGTTTCAATTTACTCTGGCATAAATGTAATGTTTTTTCTTGTCAGTTTGGATTTAGGTGGAGAGTAGAAAAAGAAGTAATTTCAGGAAAAGGTAATTCTTTTCTTTAAACATTTTAATAAGATAAGGTTATTTTGTTATATTATTGAGTTGAAGTCATTGAGTAAGATTATTCCTAATGTATACAGTGAATAATTACCCACAAAAGTAAAATTAAAGAAGGTATACTCATGATGTATTACTAGCAGAGGTCAAAATAATTAATGCTTTAGATTTTTACCTTTAGAATTTTTGCTTTTTGAATATTCAATTGAGGATAAGTAGAAAATGTTTAGAGTTAAAGATTTAACTCTAAAGTTAAATATCAACTGGTGAATACTTGACTTTTTCTCTTTGTCAATTTTTGGAATAATGAGTTGGTATTACTGTATTCCAATCAAATCAACATTTTGAAAGTAGATATTAAATATCACATTGAGCCTAATAAAATTTTTGGACAGGCTAGTTCTTCTTTTGGGGAGTCACTGAGATTGAGCCCAAATATTTACTCTTACAACAAAAGAACAGACATTTGGTAGACAGTCAGTAAATGCTTTTTTCGTGCATTGTTGTAATCTATTCACAAAATTTTTCTGAATACTTAATATCGCTACACTGTCATGCTATAAAATTCTCTCTTTATCGATAATTGCATTTTTAATTCCAATAAAAATTAATGTTAATGCTCTGAAAACTTCAGAGGAGCATTTAGGAAATAATTTTAAATTAATAACTTAAAAAAATTTATAACTGAACATAAAGGTTACATTTTAAATGAGTAAACATTTATGCCATCAAAGTGGTTTATATACATCTTCTGTAAATTTGAATGTCTATGACAGGTGTGAAATTGGACATGCAACTAAGCAGTAGGAATTAAGTTTAAAGCTTTTTAAGCTTTTCTTGATATCACATTTTAGTTTATTTTCACCTAAAACAGTGAGATATATTGAAATGTCTATCACATTTAAAAGTGTTTGTATTTTCATTGTATAGAATTTTCATATGATGGTAAATAATGCTGCTTTTTAAAACCTGATGGACATTTTTGAAATTAAATTAACTGAAGAAAAGATTAATTGGGAAGGGGAGAGAACGCTTTTGCTATGATTTATAAAGGTACAATTTTTGTTGCTGTTTTAACAATAGAACCATTACTGAACATGTACAGAATAAAGTACTCTTTTGAAATAAGTAAAAATGCCAATTTAGAAAAGTTATCAGCCTTTTGGATTGATAATTTTCAAAATTCATTTTGATAATTTAATTTTTACGAAAAGTTCAGGTTCCTGCTGGTGCCAATTATTAAGATACAAGTTTTTATTTGTTTGTACAAATAAAAGTTTGATCTTGTTTTTTTTTTCTGTCAAAGTTAATAATCTTTGAGTTTCTTTCTGCCCTCCCCCTATTTGATCATCAGTATTAGTTCTTTTTTGCAGAAGGTTTTAATGTACAATGGATATGATAATGTGGTATTGATTTTAGTGTCAAGTGATTCTAAAATTTAGAGCATTGGATTTGATTACTTATTCTGTCTACTTCATCTCAAAGTACTAGGACTTTTAAATATGCTTTTAATGCCATTTTATGCTGATACCTAAAATAAATGCCATTATGTTAATACTTAAAAATATCTATTGTAATAATATTATTAAATATTGAAAAGGATTCACCCAGATGTATGTGCATGTACTTTGGAAAATATATTTATTCTTTTAGGGTATTAGGGAGTATATATACTCTTTCAGTATTACCATTTTCCAAAGTATTTGATTCCCTAACAGGGACACTAAAACTCTCTGTAAATATAAACAGTCTATCTATTGAGCAAAAATTCTGTGACTGATTTTTTTTAGATCAATTTTTAAAAATTGATTTTGGAGAGAGAAATATGATCTATTGCCTGCCACACGCACCCCAACCGGGAATTGAACCCACAACCTTTTGGTGCATGGGTAGACACTCCAACCAACTGAGTCACACTGGCCATGGCTGTGACTGATTTTTAAAAAAATATATATTTTATTGATTTCAGAGAGGAAGGGAGAGGAAGAGAGAGTTAGAAACATCAGTGATGAGAGAGAATCATTGATCGCCTGCCTCCTGCATGTCCCCTACTGGGGATCAAGCCCGCAACCCGGCATGTGCCTTTGACTGGAATCGAACCTGGGACCCTTCAGTCCCCAGGCCAGTGCTCTGTCCACTGAGCCAAACCAGCTAGAACTGATTTTTTTTAAAACAGTTCTTTCAGCTTTTTAAATTGATACTTGTATACACATTTGTTGAACATATTATAATTATTGTGGTCAGTTGCTTATTAATGCTGCTTTGTAGAACTAAGAATTTATGTATGTTAAGAGTAAATTTCAGCAATAATACTAGATTAGATAGAATATTGTCACAACTATCATAGCTAATAATTCCTTCCCTTTTTTTGCAGGCCAGTTTTTCTGTGGAAATAAATATTGTGATAAAAAAGACAACTTAAAGAGTTGGGAAGTTAATTTTGGTTATATTGAGCATGGTGAAAAGAGAAATGCACTTGTTAAATTAAGTAAGTTGACTCTAGATGATTCATTTCTTCAAAGGTTATCTAATAATTTAGATTTTAAAATGTATGGATTAATTTAAGTCTCAATTTCAAAATTTTAATGTTTCTTCCCTGTAAGTGCCCTTTTTCTCAGAGCTTCCCAAAATTACAGTGTTTGAGCCAAACAGTTTTGTATTCTCAGCAATCTGGTGACTTTTGGGTGAAACAGTTCTAATGTTAAATGTAATGCCATTGATAAAGTGAAGACCTCTTCTCATTAACTTGAGAATGTCACCAATGCAGAGTGAAATGCATAGTATCAGAAAAGGCAATGTACAATCTCACATTAGCTGATAGCTGTTGTTGTGGTGGGGGTAATAATAAATGCACTCTTTGTGTCAATAGAGAAAAAGCTTTAGGAAGGCATAATTGTTCTTTATATCAGTCTTAAAAGCTTAGGGTTACACCCCAGAATATAGTAGTTTCTCTTAATATGCATGTTTTAGAATCTGTTATTCATTCTTTTTTTCCCCGTAAGCTGGTATTATGGTATTATGTCTTCATCATATCAGCAGCCTTCTCTAGGACCTAAATAATGTGCCTTCAGAGTGTTCTGCCTACTCCAGAAAGAAGTCATAAATTTCCCCGTATGCTGCCGAATGTGTACCAGTACAGACTGGTTTCTGAGTTCCTCCTAGAAGTGATTGCTCATGAGGAAAAGTCAACTAGTCTGAACTGAGGTGAAGACAAAACAAGAGGCCACAATTGTAGAACTTTTTGAACAGCCCTCTTCCATTTGAAAATTCCTAGAGCATTTCACTATTTTTGATGTGAGATACACATTAATGCTGCCTATTGCTTTTAGAATAAATTGAGGGCACATTTTTCTGAAGTAATGTTAGAATTTCAATTCCTCAAGCATTCTAATATTATTTTTATTATCTCTCTCTCTCTCTCTCTCTCTCTCTCTCTATATATATATATATATATATATATATATATGGAAAGAATTGTATTGCTTTTTCAAATTATTTGTTTCCTCTCATCATAAAGAATATAAGGGAAAATGAAAATTTATGATACTAAAGATAGAGTAGCAGTGCAGTTATTCACATTCAGCAGTGTGACTTTTTTCCCTTTTTTAGGATTATGCCAAGAATGTTCCTTTAAATTAAATTTTCATCACAGGTAATATTATCTTTTAAAATACTATTTTTAAGGTTTAGTAGTTTTGGACATAGTCACTTATCTGCACTGAATGTTTAAATATAGATTTGAAGGGGTGATGGTTTAATTAGTTGATTACATAGAATATTGGGATCACTTTATGGCCACATAAATGAGAGAACTTGAATGGAAATTCATGGTGCCTTAATCTAGCCAACCAGTTTTAAATGTGAAGGCTTGTGCAGGATGGTAGATAGATCCTAGAATTTTTAGTTTGGATTCAATGTTCAGATACCATGATATTAGAAACTGTAGTGTAAAGCAGATCTTCTTAATGTGATTCTTATGTCTCATTTAAACTGTGTTTTAATTGGAGTTTGTCATTCATAGCAAAGGATTATAAACCTCTATGTTAAAATCAGGTTTCTATCGAATGAACTAGAATGTGTCTGCATATTGAGTAGGGGAGGGTTATCAGTTTTCTGCAATGTGCAGTTGGTATAAGATCATGGGCTTTGGCCGAAACCGGTTTGGCTCAGTGGATAGAGCGTCGGCCTGCGGACTGCAGGGTCCCAGGTTCGATTCCGGTCAAGGGCATGTACCTTGGTTGTGGGCATATCCCCAGTGGGAGATGTGCAGGAGGCAGCTGATCGATGTTTCTCTCTCATCGATGTTTCTAACTCTCTATCTCTCTCCCTTCCTCTCTGTAAAAAATCAATAAAATATATTTAAAAAAAAGATCATGGGCTTTGAAATCAGACCCCTGTGTATTCCTCTCAGCTACTCCACTTTCTAGTCATCTTCACGAGCACGCTACTTAACCTCTGCAAGACTCAATTTTATCACCTCTAAAAATTAGGGTACTAAGGTTATTATGGGGATTACATGGAAGTGCATGTAAAGTGCTTGACAGTGCCTGGCATATGGTAAGTTAAACATAGTGGAGTCCCTGGCATTGAAGATGTTCAGACAAAATCAGTGTGACCTCTCAGGATTGTGGTGGTCAGGCCTCATGTTCTGAATAACAATTGAAAGTCTAAGAGTAATATTCTACAATTTTATAAAATATCAAAGTTAGTATATTAATTTTAAAATCAGCTATATTATAAATGTGTCCTACCTAATATTTTAGCGATTAAATATTAAAAATAAATATTACATAATTAATATTTTTTAAAAATAGATTTTTGATTTCAGAAAGGAAGGGAGAGAGGGAGAGAGAGATAGAAACATCAATGATGAAAGAATCACTGATCATCTGCCTCCTGCATGCACCCTACTGGGGATTGAGCCCACAACCTGCGCATGTGCCCTTGACCGGAATTGAACCCGGAACCCTTCAGTCCATAGACCAGCACTCTATTCACTGAGCCAAACCGGCCAGGGCTACATAATTAATTTTTTTTTTAATTTTTAAAATTAGCAGAATTTTTAGACATGAAAAATAGCCTAAACCATTATTTTCCCTCAGTATCAATGATACTGAACAATACCAAAGACTTCTATTTGACCCTAACTTTCAAACTTTGTTTCAAACTTGCAATGATTCTTATGAGAATTAAAAAATTATTACTGTCTTAAATAGTATTATATAACATTTGTCATAAGAACCTTAATTTTTGAAAAGTCTAATAAGTTTCTTAAAAGTAATGATCTCTGTTGTCTCTTCATCTTCCTTTCTCTAAGTTTCAGCATTCTCACCTTTTCCTATTAAATATTGCTTTTTTTCACCAATTAAAATCAATTGCTTGGCAACAATGGTACCAATAATTTTGTAAACCTGGCCTCGAAGAAATAAAGCTACAGCAGTAAAAGGATAAATGGCCTAAAGTAGACATATGAGTTAACAATACATCCTTCCACCCTCATTCTATAATAGTTTTACTAAACGGTGTGGCAAAAGTAGGTTTACAGTTGTGAGTACATGAAACAGAGTTTATTCTTGTATATTTATTGTTGCATTGTTTTCCATACAAACAACTGTAAACCTACTTTTGCCCCATTCTGTATATTCTTTAATTCTTAAGAGAATTTTCTGTTTATTGGTGGTGTAGAACTATCACCAGTGGATTCTTTTTGTTGTATTTGTTTTTCAAAGTGTAGGTAGATATGAATTATTTGAAGAGAAATGAGATTTGTAATTTTCTTTTAAATAGCTAAATAGAATATAAAAAGAAGGAAATCAGTAAAACTATGATTTATATTTACTAGGTTTGTATATAGAACTTATAAACAATAATTTTTGATCCAGAATTTTCAGGCATTATTATCTTACAGAATTGTTCTAAATCATATACTAACCTAAAATACTTACAGTCTCATTTAAGGAAGTACTTTAACTTATTTTTTCTTTTCTCATTGGTTTTAATTTTTGTAAAGGTCAGTTGAAAAAGTTAACTTTAATTTTATATTGTTCAACATAAAGGAGAAAAGAAGTTAAGTCCAAAAAAAGGAAGGACAGAATCAAAAAAGATTGTGAAGAGTCACCACATAAAAAATCCAGATTATCTTCTGCAGAAGGGACCTCTAAGAAAAAGGACAAAGGTAAAGGGGAACTAGGGACCTCTAAGAAAAAGGACAAAGGTAAAGGGGAACGATATCTACTCATATTTCTGAAAATGAAGTGTGATCTTCCATATGTTTCAAATGTAGAATGTAATTGGTGAATACGTTTAGAATTCTGTTTTATAGTTGTTGAAAGGAATCTGATTGGAGAATTTAGATATGAATTTATAGTAACTTATAGGAGTTTCAGGAATAAGATTGGTTTTGATTCATTTTTGGCAGATGGTATAATATTTTGTAAAAAGCCTAATTTTTGGATTTGTCACTTAAAAGGCTGGTTACCTTGAGCAAGTTACTGCACTTCTTGAGTTTTACTCTCTCTATGTAAGTGGGGGTGTTGTCAATGTCTAGCCCCTGTACCGCTTGAGCTTATTGTGGAGAATCAAGTAATCTGAAAGGCACTTTTAACACCTTAAGACAGCAGTCGCCAGCCTTTCGGGTCTGCGGACCACCGGTTGGCGACCGCTGCTCCAAAGGGTTCCTTTAACCAGCAGTCGCCAACCTTTCGGGTCTGCAGACCACCGGCTGGTGACCGCTGCTCCAAAGGGTTCCTTTAACCAGCGGTCGCCAGCCTTTTGGGTCTGCGGACCACCAGTGGTCCGCGGACTACCGGTTGGCTACTGCTGCTTTAAAATAATACATAATCTATGTCAGTATAAAATTATAACACTATGATTTCAATTATGGTCTGATTTTCTCACTAGCTTATGACCTTGAAATGATAGAGATTGATATGTCTCATCAGAATCTAGCATGGTGCTGTGCACATACACTGAGTAAATAATTATTAAATTCAGATTCATCAATCTGCCACTTCTTCCTCTGCAATCTTTAGGCCAGTGATGGCGAACCTTTTGAACTCGGCGTGTCAGCATTTTGAAAAACCCTAACTTAACTCTGCTGCCGTGTCACATATAGAAATTTTTTGATATTTGCAACCATAGTAAAACAAAGACTTATATTCTTGATAGTTATTTTATATATTTAAATTCCATTTAACAAAGAAAAATCAACCAAAAAAATGAGTTCGCGTGTCCCCTCTGACACACGTGTCATAGGTTCACCATCATTGTCCTAGGACCTTAACTATGCTATATGTAAGCATATGGTATTACCCAGTTTTAGACTTGGTAAAATTGATAGATTGAAAGGAAAATACTATTATTCTGTTGTGTATTGAGAAATGGTATTCAAACCAGAATGCCTTTTTGTCTCTATCTTAATCATTAACTTCAAAATAAATATTAATTAATAAATGTGAAAATATCATTTGAGCTTTTAAAAAATTTTATGTACTCTTATGTGCTAGTAAAATATTTGAAAATTTTGTTGCATTCGTTACTGTATTATGTAATATTGTTGCATTCATATCATAGTATGATACCATGTTAATCACTGCATATTCCAAATTAAAGAAGAACTGATCCCTTGTAAAAATTTATTCATTACCTTCAAAACAGGTAATTAGGTAACTGGATACTTGGAATCAGAGATGGGTTGCACCATGCATGTGATCTTCCTTATAAATATTTTTTCTTCAGTGTTCCATATTTCAGTAGATGGCAGACATCTCTGTTAACCCAAATAATAATATCAGAAACCTAGGCATTATCCTTGATGCTGCCTTTCCCCCCCACTTTCATTATTTAAGTTTAACTTATTACCAAATTTATCAGCTTTACCTGGGTATATATTTCTCAAGTTCTCTCTACCCTCGTTCAAACTAGCATGTTTTCTCATCTAGACTTCTGTTCTATTTTCATTACTGGTTTCTTTACTGTCTTGACTTCCCACCTTCTCTCCAATCTGTTTGCCATAATGCAATGATATCCTCTTGTTCTTAGGATAACAATCAGAATTCTAGACAAAGCCCAAAGGCTCTAAATAATCCTATATAATAAAAGCCTAATATGCTAAGTGTCCGGTCATCCGTTTAACCAATCAAAGCGTAATATGCTAATGATATGCTAAGGCCGCTCAGCCACTCGCTATAATGTGCACTGACCATCAGGGGGCAGACAGTTGACCGGTCAACCAGTCACTATGATGTGCACTGACCACCGGGGGTCAAATGCTCCGACTGGTAGGTTAGCTTGTTGCTGGGGTCTGGCCAATCGGGACTGAGTGAGAAGGGCTGGACATGCCCTGGTGCCCTCCTGCAGTCCCTGGCCAACCTCCCACGTCCCTCCCCGGCCCCAATCGTGCACTGGTGGGGTCCCTCGGCCTGTGCCCTCTCACAATCCAGAACCCCTCAGGAGATGTCGGAGAGCCAATTTCGACCCAATCCCACAGGCCAGTCCAAGGGACCCCACTGGTGTACGAATTCATGCACTGGGCCTCTAGTCTTATATACAAGGCTTGTTTCTCACCACTCTCCACCTCACTTTCATACTTTACCCATAGAGCCATTTCGTTTCTGGAAATTCCAAACTTTTTTAAATTTAGGGACTACATAAACACTGTTTCCTCTCTTCCTAAAACTCCCAGTCCCATCTTAACTCATCCTTCAGGTCTAAGCTTAAATGTCACTTCCTCATTTTTTTGGTTGATTTTTCTTTGTTAAATGGCATTTAAATATATAAAATATCAAAAATATAAGTCTTTGTTTTACTATGGTTGCAAATATCAAAAAATTTCTATATGTGACACAGCACCAGAGTTAAGTTCAGGTTTTTCAAAATGCTGACACGCTGAGCTCAAAAGGTTCTCCATCACTGGCATAAGGAATGAGAAAATGAAAGACTTTGAACATTGTTTCAGGCAAGTTCAGGAGAAGAAAACCAAACAGAGTGGAACTGAATGATCTTTTTCTTATTTATTCAGAGTGTCTTTGATAGAGGAGAGTATAGGATATAGTTCTTTTTTTTCAGCTTAGGTGATATAAAGTAGAAAATGACTTTTTAACAACTTAATAGGAAAACCATGTGGTACTCTTACTATCTTCTTATTGGAACGCTCTGGAACTAGATTGATCTTGATGTGATACTCTCTTGCTAGACTACCTTAATTTGGCCCAAACTTGAGTAGCAATTAATAAATGCTTAATATCACAGCTGCATTTAGACTGTTGATACTCCTTCTCAAAACAATCTACTTTTTTGATTTCCTTCCTGGCCTCTCATCTTTTTTGACTACAGTTCCTCCTTGTTCTTATCCTTAGATGTTGGAATTGCTCAGGCTATTATAGAACTTCCTTCTCTCTCTGTTCCTCCTGTACGATCCCATCTATTCCCATAGCTCAGGTTACTGTTACATAAAATGTTACCTAAGTGGATGTTTGGATCAATTGATGGATAATTGAATGGCTAGGTGGCTGGGTGAATGGAAAGGATGTGTAAGAAAGACAGATCAATAGCTTGACTTTGAGGACCAGTCTGCTTTGGCAGGTATGAGCAGAACTTAGGTAGACTGATTTGACAGAAACTTCAGGACCTTACCCCTCCCACCACCACCCCATTCCCAAGTTCAGTTCCTTTGAAAGGCCTTTCCTGACACCCTTCACCCTACTCTTCAGGTAAGGTTAAGTCCCTATTACACATTTCAGTAGCGCTCCTTTGGAAGAACTCACTGGATAACCATTGTAGAACTGAATATTTTAGTTTTATGACATAATGGTACATGTGATTTTCAATTACTGAGAATTCTCACCTGTATAGGATCTTTGGAAAAGTATTTTGAAAAATGAGTATTTATTTGTAAACAGCTTTCAGATGTTCAACATATGTATAAAGTAGTGGTTCTATTGTAGTGAATCTATGGGGTGTTTTTTTGTTTGTTTGTTTTAGGAACATGAGACTGTTTTTATAGCTATTCATTATTTTTTAAGCTTTGCGTTAGATATTCCAGTCCATATGAAGGCAAAAACTGTCCCTGCAAAGAACCTAACATTTTAATTAGGGAGATAAGTCTAAGGAATAAGGAACATGAAAGATTGGAAGACCATGAGCCGATTTTCTGTAAGACTATAATGTAAAGACTGTTGGGAAGAATTCTGGTTACAGCTATGACTGTTGCACTACTGCAAGAGGATTCTTAACAAAACAGTGCTGCTTCCTTTTCAGGACATTCATCCTCAAAGAAATCAGAAGATTCTGTAAACCGTAAGTATTAAGTATTTATTTATTTAATAAAAATATGTAAATTCAGGTTATTTGCAATTTGGGTTTCCCATGAATTAGGACCTGCTCTAATGTAAATTAGTTTTTGTTTTTGTACTATGTGAGAAAATCATAGAAAAAGACCGTATGTGTATGATTTCTTCCCCAATTTAGAACACTTAAGTTTCTTAATTTAAGTATTTGAGAGCATTCATTTATTTTCTATGAATACAATAGATACACATTTCAATTTTACATTATGAATTATGAAGGAAGAGAAATGGAGGGATGGAGTTGGAGGTGGATTAAGATTTAAGAAATGTTGCTTATGTTGCACGGGACTGAGTTATCTCTGTCATTTGGTAATTTGGATTGATCAAATGAAGTTTGTGATTTGTGCATGGAAAGCAAATGGTTGTTAGTTTTTTAGTAAGTCTTATGGTTTTCACAAGATTGGATCAAACCAAATTTATTGAATATTTGCCACAAGTTTTATTATTTTTTCCCCTGTAATATTCCAGAAAGTATTCACAATGACTTACAAAAATACATACAATAGGATTTTTAAAAATTTATCTTTATTGTTGAAAGTGTTAGATGTTCCCATTTTTTCCCCCATTGACCCTCTCCCCCCAGCTTTCATCCCCTCCCCAGGCCTTCACCACACTATTGTCTGTGTCCATGGGTTATCATATATGTATATAAGTTGATCTCTTCTCACCCCCTGCTTCTCTTCCCTCTGAGAAACTTCACTCTGTTGCTTGCTTCCATGTGTCTGGGTCTGTTTTGTTTGTCAGTTTATTTTGTTCATTAGATTCCACATATAACTGAGTTCATGTGATATTTGTCTTTGACTGGCTTATTTTGCTTAGCATAATACTCTCCAGGTCCATCCATGTTGTCTCAAAGGGTAGGAGGTCGTTCTTTTTTATAACTGCATAGTATTCCACTGTGTATATGTGCCACAACTTTTTTAAAGGTGACATCAGAAAAATGGAAAAATAAGATACAATAGCAAAATAAAGCTAAAATTAATACAGAAAAAATTTTACCAAAAAGTCCTTCATAGCTTGAAAGGTAGATCACAGATTTGTCATTGTTCTTCCTAACCACCAAACCAAAGTAGAAAACCACCAGCAGGGTGATTAATTATATCCATATGATGATAAAGAGAACTCGAAGAACTTTCCAGGCAGAGTTTTGAGAACAGAATCTCCTGTGAATTCATAAAAGGGGACATCCATTTGTGATATAAAGACAATATCCTTGTATCTCAACTAATACAGTGTTGGATTTCTTAAAGATTTTGCCATAGGCTTAGGGCCTAACAATGTAGTATAAATCAATAGCATGCCTAATCAATTTTTTAATATGTGGATTTATTTTATAGAAGTTCAGAAATTTAAGATTTCTAGGCTTATTTGGAAATGTATAAACTTAAATTTTAATTTCTGATTTTAAAGTAATATGTGTTTACTGTGCAAAATCAGGAAAAATTTTAGTAATTACTCCAAATCCCACCATTCAAATGTAAACATGATTAGCATTTTAGTATAATTCTTTTTGTTAAATATGTAATTCTTGGGTAGCTATGTTTTTAAACTGCTGGGCTCTGACGCGCTTTTTTAATGGATTATTTTAGAAAGAGGAAGCGGGGAGAGAAGAAAGGAGAGAGGAGGGGGAGAGAGAAAGAGAGAGAGCCATGTGAGAGAGAAATATCCATCATCCACCTCTTGAAACTTGGGGATATGCCCTGACCAGGAATAAAACCTGCCACTTCCTGTTTTATGGGACAACGCTCCAACCAACTGAGCCACACCATCCAGGGCTAGTGTAATTCTTAAGGAGAATTTTTAAGTGTTTAATAGTCAAATTTTGCACTGAGAAAAATAGCAAAATAGGAATTTAGTTTAAGAGATCGGGTGTTAAAAATTTAATGAAAAGGGGGTTACCAGTGGAGGCATTCCTAAATTACACCAATTTTGTTTTCAGTATATTTGAAGTGTTTAAATAACTAAAATTTTCTTCCTCCCACTGTGAATACAAATTTATCAGCAGTTCCTTCTAAATTGGACAATGTATAGTGACAGTTTCTAGAACATAGTCAGGCATGAGACTCAGACATGCTATCTGAGATGATGTAAATATCTATGTTTTAGCTGAAACCGGTTTGGCTCAGTGCAGCCGTGGGCAAACTACGGCCCGCGGGCCAGATCCGGCCCGTTTGAAATGAATAAAACTAAAAAAAAAAAGACCGTACCCTTTTATGTAATGATGTTTACTTTGAATTTGTATTAGTTCACACAAATACTCGATCCATGCTTTTGTTCCGGCCCTCCGGTCCAGTTTAAGAACCCATTGTGGCCCTCGAGTCAAAAAGTTTGCCCACCCCTGGGATAGAGCGTCAGCCTGTGGACTGAAAGGTCCCAGGTTCGATTCCGGTCAAGGCATGTACCTGCATTGCGGGCATATTCCCGGTGGGAGATGTGCAGGAGGCAGCTGATCGATGTTTCTCTCTCATTGATGTTTCTAACTCTCTCTCTCTCTCCCTTCCTCTCTGTAAAAAATCAATAAAATATATATATTTTTAAAAAATCTATGTTTTTAAAAATCACACAGGTAAAAATGGGAAATTTTATTTTGGTTTTATCCATCTCCATAAGTGCATTGCAGTGAGAAGTGTGAAGGCCTATTTAATGAAGAAAAAACATTGTCCTTTTCCAATTCCAATTTTTCATTATTAAAAGGTCTTGACTTACTTATTTTCATTCTTTCATTTACTCTTCCTTTTCCCTCCCACTGTTCTCTCTCTAGCTCTATTGACCCTCCCCCATTTCCCAGAAATAGCCTTAAGTTTCTTTATCTCTGAAGTAGGACAAACTTCTAGTAGTAGAGAGAGAATATTGTGAAGAATCTGTAGCTTAGTTTGGTTCTTGAAGAAACAGATTATCCACCTCAAGGTGATCTGGCTGTCCATTTGGTAACCAGAAAGCCATTTACCACATTGAGTAGGAGACATGTGGTGTGCCAAACCCAGATGTCTTCTCATGTGGAAAGTGATCCATCTTAGATGGTTTGGCAATTTCAGAACTCAAGTTTGAAATTCATTTACATTTAAATAGTATTCAGCTACTCTGAATATTGACAAACAGAAAAAAAAAACAGTACTCATTAGAAGTTTGAGTAGTCATTAATGAAGAAGCTAATCCCGTTTGACATAGGGATTATTAAAACCAAATCCATGAAGAAAAACCCAATTTCTGTGGGTGAAAAGAATTTTAACTTGCATTTGTTGATTGTCTACTTTGTCAGTTACAATGGCAAGTGGTTTAGTTGTGTTATCTCATTTAGTATTAATAATGGGCATTTAATATCCCATTTTGCAAACTAGAGAACTGAAACCCAGAGAATTTACAGGCATATTTCAGAAATATTGCATGTTTGGTTTCAGACTACCACAATAAAGCAAATACTGCAATAAAGCAAGTTGTAATCTTTTTGCTTGTGGAGAGTCTTGCCTTCTGTTTGTAAAATAATGCAACATCTGTGAAGCACAATAAAGCAAAGCACAATAAAGTGAGGTGTGCCTGCATATAAATTGCCTATGATCAGGTAGTTGGGATTAAACACAGGTTTACAAGTTTTTTATCATTAATAACTGTGTATCAGTGAGTCAAATGTAAGTCCACTCTGTACATTTTGGCAGATACATTATGCAAGTCCACATTAAATGATATGCTCTGTCTGTGTCTCAGTCCTATCTGTAAAAATGGGTATAAAGAGACTTTGTTGGATTATCATCAGTCTAATGAGATAAAATATGGGTAAATCATGTGTCTGATACAAATTAAGTCCTTGATAACCTGTAGCTATAATTGTTGTTATAACAAGATAAAACTGCATATTAAACAGGTTCTCTATTTGGTCTCTAAAATTGGTCAGATCAAAAATGAAATCTGTAAAGTCTGATCTACTGATTTGTTGTCATAATTGGAGGCTTGCCACTTCTGCTGTAGGCCAAGGTATTTAGGTATCATATAATATCCAGAAAAATCAAGATGATAGACCTGCTTTTATTATTCAAAGCAAGTAGGGAAAATTGTATGCAGTTTGCATCACATTCTAAAGGGAACATTGAAAACTTAAAGCAGGCCAAGACTAAAACAACCACAGTGTTGACACAAATTGAAATTGTGTCTTAGGAAGGTTGAAGGAACTGTGGATGTTTAGCTTGGAGAAATATGAAAAGATTAGAGGGAAGGGGTAAGGAAGTAGATATGGAAACTAGATATTTGCAAGACCACTACTATGTGGGAGACTTATTTTTGGTGTGTTGGGGAAAGGGGAGAATCACACACACACCCATCCCCATATCTTTCCTAAGTTCTTAATGGCTGGAGTAACAGTAAAATTGATATAAGATTAGAATATATGCACATAGGAGGTCACAATACGATGTTCAGATTATAAAGTGAGGCTCAAAGAAATGATCAAACCAGGTACCTTTTATGAGTTTTAGACAAAGACAATACATTTGTAAAGAAATTGACAGGACAAACAGAAAAAAAAAAACAGTACTCATTAGAAGTTTGAGTAGTCATTAATGAAGAAGCTAAACAAGATTTGGGATTGGATGTAAATTAGAAAAGAGGGGACAAGGTTCGTTTACACAGATTCTGTGGCCCTGGATTCTTTAATTCTAAGAAGGGAATTCTTGGCCTCCAGATGCAGAGAGGGTACCTTTCACATGTGAGATTTATCTCCTGCTTTTAGGAAGAGACGGCTCAGTGTTCTTTCACTGCAGTTTCCTAAGTAACTTTAACTCAAAGTAATCAATATGGCCTTGTAAGATATCTTGGGGCGGCCTGCCTTGGATCCTAATGAATGACTGGTTGGCAGAACTAGAGCCCATGGATAAAAATTGCCCTAGGACAGAGTTTAGCCTTAATTTAAGGAAGAAATTGTCAGTTAGAACCATCTGAAGACAAGAATGGAGGATTGTGCTGCTTCAGGAAGTAGTGAGGTGTTCAAGTGTAAATTGGACAGCCACTGTTGCAGTGACTCATTCCATTGGTAAGGGTTGGATTAAAGACCTCCACGATCTACTTCCAACACAGAGAGTCAGTGACTTAAATTCTGATCTCCACTTGCCATTAGCTTTGCATAGATTTCACACTGATGCAAGAGTTTCATTTTGGCCCTAACTGGTTTGGCTCAGTGGATAGAGCATGGGCCTGCAGACTGCCAGTCAAGGGCACATGTCCGGGTTATGGGCTCGATCCCCAGTAGGGGCTGTGAAGGAGGCAGCAGGTTGATGTTTCTATC